TAGTCAACTAAATTCAGACAGAAATTTAATTAAATAATCAAATAATTATCCCATAATTTTTAATGGGCATAACATCCTTAAAGTGGATGCCAAAACTGACTTGGAAATTTATTGGCTTTTCAGGTTTCAAGACATAAACAACAGCATCGAAGAAGAAACACGGCTATTATGGAAAATCACAAACCAGCAAACAAAAGATTCAGTCCCGCGAAGCTCAAGCAAATAACTTCGCGACACATCTGAAAGTAACATATAAAAAATGAGAAAAACAAGTTTTCGCTAGTAAATTCAGAACATAAGGATTAATTTTTATAAAAAACACTTTCCCCTACAACTGTGGATCGATGCGTCGTTGCATCGGATAAAATACAGTAATCATCAAGATTTGCATGTATTAATTAACGATTCGCATGGTAATTGGGATATTGAGATTCAGTCACGCTTTCTGAAATAAAATGCATCGTTTTAGCAGAGAATTATTGTGAGCCACAAGATTGCCAAATCGATAATAAAATAGCATAATTTTTCTATCCAAGAAATAGCGCAATTTATGTAGTAAGTTCATCTGCCGCCACGAAGTTCTCCCCTGAAAGGATACGTATTTTCTCCTCCAAAGAGGTAATCCATTCGCACCAATATGAACTGAAAGTAATTCTCATTTTAGTCCATGACTAAAATCTATTTAATTTTCTGTCCATACCAGTACTGTGTGCTATCACCACATTTCACATTACTGCCTAAGCTACGTCGTCAACTTGTACATGTAGGAGAATGCTGTCATGTACATCGCAGGACACTTAATAATATACAATAAAACTACGATATTGCTGATTTAGACGGGTAGCGCAAAAATATATTAGCCATCGTCGGTATATATTTATTTGCGAATTAATTCCAATGTATACTATTACGAGCGAATTACTGTTTTGGATGATGTAACCTTGCAGAAGTGCTAATGTTAATTTTAGATTTTGTAGTTACCATATTTTAGTTTACCAACATTACTTTACCAACATTAGTTTACCAACATTACATTTAGTTTACCAACATTATTTGCTGCAATCTGCTATGATAAATTATTATCATTTGTGTCAATTAATGAATGATTCATACCAGACTTCTCGGGATATTGCACCGCTAATGATAAATGAATCCGTACTTGGAGGACAGTATCATATTCTAGTGCAAGAATCCGTAACGTGGGTTTTTTTGCAAGAGCATTTGACGTGATCGGCAGTCTAATTTATGACAAGCAGGCATCGATTTAAATGACTGCTAAAACGCCTGATACGCTTCAAGAACTGAAGCACTGAATTGTTTGCCCGCATTATTGATTTCCTAGGAATATAAAGACGACGAGACCAAACCATACGCATCGACATCCGGATTTGGAGGATCCACGTGTTCAACGGAATACTTTGCCTACAAATTCATATTTTTCTGATGAGGTTGGTACAAAAAAATGCAGTAAGCACAGGTTCTGACTGCTAGAGTATACCAAACATCTGATTATTTTTGTGCGCCCCACAGCTACAAGTCGACTAAGTAAAATGAAACAAATGAGCAAGCATCATTATAGTGTGCAAATAGCTGATTTACAAAAATTTAATGCAATTGCTATAATTGGCAGTTTATTTTCTTCCTTCCTTATTTGCTCAAAACGGATCGAGGTTCGTGCTTTTTTTGGACTATTTTATCACGTTTACGTGAACCGTTTTTCTTCAAGAAATCGACATTTTGAGATTGCGCTAAATTGCAATGACCTGTTTTCAACGATGCTCTTCTTTCCTGTATCTAGCGCTTTTTTGTCATAGAGCGCACCGGAGAGGCATTCCGGAGCTTTTTTTAGACGGATTTTCCAAGTTTTAAAAGTAACTTCTGAACACTTGTTGCTTGGTCCACGTGGACTTGAATAGTCCAGGTCGGCGGATAATTCACT